ATACTCTAATATCAGATCAATCAAATATCTCTACAAGTATATCTACAAGGATCAAGACAGGGTTTTTATTTCAATTGTGAATCCAAAAGATGAGATTAAAAAATATCTTAATGCAAGATATATCTTTGCATCTGAAGCCATTTGGAGATTATTTAATTTTAATCTTCAATAGAGATCTCATAAGGTGAAAAGACTTCCAGTATATTTGTCCAATTAACAAATTGTAACTTTTCAGAATACGGAAGAATTATCAACAATAATAAAAAGAAATGAGTACATAAAATTAACAAGATATTTTGAAATCTGTGTCTCTAATCCAGATATTATTGAAATTCAAAATTTAAAGTATTCTGACTTTCTCAAATATTTTATTTGAAAAGATAATAATTGGTATCAAAGAAAGAGAGGTAGTAAAAAGGTAATTTCTTGTCTCTACTTCATTAATCCAAGGGATGAAGAGAGATTTTATCTTAGGATATTATTAAATTTTATTCCTGGAGCAATTTTATTTGATGCCTTAAAAACAATTCAAGGAATAAAATATAATACTTTTAAGAAAGCAGCCTATCATCTAGGTTTGGTAGATAATAATGATAAATGTGATGTTTGCTTCTCTGAAACAACAACTTATCAGATGCCATTACAATTAAGACAACTGTTTGCTTCCATTCTAATATATTGTCAACTTGCTGTTAGTTCAGGGTTTCTTTTTAGAAATAGCATTGATATTGTATTAACACTTGCGAGCACTATCTTTTATTAATATAAGTTTGCCTTTACTAGTCCAGAGTTATCTATTGGAGACACATAGTATACTTGATCGATATTGTATATAAAGAATATATTGATTTTAAAATTTCCTTCATTTATCTTTCACAAAGAAATCAATGATTTTTGCAACTTTTTGACTTTTGTTAACTTGATCCATGCTACTTGAATTGTATTATAATTAATACTAGTACAATAAAATAAAATAGGATATTATGGTATCAATAAATATTATTTACTTGTTTATGATATAATTTAAAAACTTATGATTGATTACAGTTATGAGTCAAAAAAAACTAAGAATCGAAAAGTATATATTTCTTTGATCAGTATTAGTAACAATAAAATAATAGTAATAATATGTACAATGTTGATAAAATATTGCTTACTTGTGATTAAAGATGTGTTCTTAAAGAGGAAGGCAAGAACAAAAGTCAAATGTCCATTACTAGGAAACATTAAAATTTTAAATTAATAATTATAAAAAAACTATTCACAATTGTTCTCTATTATTCAAATCATTGATTTATAATATTTCCTGAATTTTGTTTCTATTAAAGTAAAGAGATATGAATTTTGTCCCTCAAAAAAGAACATAAGTGATCTGAAACATTTTATATGCTAAATACTTTAGGGACCCATCATTACTTGTGATTATAAAATATAAAACTCATAAATAACTATAGCTGTAGATTGATGTAATAGAAAGTTACAAAGTTAAAGCTGGCAACTAAATAGTTGTATAAAGCAATAAAAAAAAACAAATATATATATCAAAAAATAGCTATAACAAGTTTAGTAAAACTTAAAGAGTAATTAGTTTATTGCTTACACAGATCACTAGAAGAAACTGTATAACTGCAACAGTAAAATTAATTGCAATTTTTGTTTTATAAATTGATCATTTTCAATAATATATATTTGTATTGTTGATCTATTCTATTATCAATTTTTAATATTTATAATACTTGCATCAAGCTTGCCACTTTAACAATTATAGTACATCTATTTGTAATTTTAATATTTATAACAACAATCTTACTATAATAATTACCTGTTTTAACAATTACTGTTTCAATAAATGTAATTCTATTTTTAAACTCCAATAAACATAATTTTAAGGATTATAATTAAAGCTAACAAGACTTTTATTTAATATATTAAATACTATTTTATATACAGTATAAATAATATCAAATTTTAAACATCAAATCTATTTAACCAATATAATTATATTCTTGATTTTAAAAACCAAATTCATTAGAAACAAAGTTACCAGGTCATTTTAAAAACATAAAATTAGCAAGGTAGACGACAGTTATACAAGTAAAAAAACAGAAGCTTTGATTCAGCTCCACTATGAAGCAGATAACTATTGATCTAGAATATTTAACGCGTCCCTACGGCTTATATAAGTAAAGTCATCGTTATCCAAACAATATTGCGCATAGTCTTTAGAACCACAATAAAGAGGATATCTTGCATGAAAATTGTCATCATCTTCAGGCTCATAGTCCGGATTATCTAAATTAATGTACGTATATTTTTTAACTTCATACGTACGTAACAAGACTACTCACCGCGCCAGTATTACGTTGACGACTAAAATTAAGATGTTCTTTGGCTAGATCTTGTATTAGACGGTGTTTGGACGACGGTTCTGAAGGCATATCCCTAGTTTGGGAGGCGTCATTATCGTTGCTCTTGGGGATATTGGATTCGTTAGTCTTAGAAGTGGTAGTATTGTTTGTTAGAACTGCACATTTTTACGTCCTGTATATAAAAAAACAGTAAGTACTAATAAGTTTTATAATCTTAATTAATGGCGGTATAGTCCGTGACTGCAAAGTGGCATATTACTTCGAATTAGTGGTAGAAAACGTTATTGGTACCCACATTTTAAGAGAAAAAAACGAAGCATTTTATACCATCCAGAGCTATTCCAAAACAAATATATTTACGTAATTTTTTCAGTTAACCACTTAATGTGATCGCCTTCGGTAAAACATCCCTTCATTTGATGATCTCACTGGCGGAGTAAAAAAAAAGTTAACCAAATTCCTATAACATGATTCTCGATAAAACTATTAATAAAATATGATAAGCCCCACCCCCCTTATGGACTTTTTGAATCTAATTCGTGTTTTCTAGCAGGTAGCAGGTACGTGATCAGCGTAGAAGTTCGTGAAACATACTAGAAATTATTTCTATATTAAACATGCTTCACGATAGGAACCAGCGTAGACGAATCTCGAAAAGGTAGTAAGGAGGATCAGACCGACAATCTCCATTAGTGCGTATGTTGAAAGACTTATGTTGTAGGAAGTCGAAATCTCCGCAATCTCCGAGATCGTCGTATGCTTGCCAACTTTGTATACTGCATAATCTATATACTATAAAAAGTCAACTGATCTGATCAGCAGAGCGCTGGCACAACCAAAATGGACGAAAAAATTTTCATTTTCTTTCCTGCATCATCTCACTTTAGCCGGAGGTCATAACGCACCGCCATATAACATATAAAACGTTACCATGACCACGCGCGATTCCTCACCTGTATCTGATTCCTCTACAATAACGGAAGAAAGGTCGACTCGCACGATGGGGGACGTTATAAAAAATTACAAAACGGAAGAGCTTATCGACTATTTACGGAGACAGGACTTAAGATCTTGATAATGAGGATTTCGCAATCTTACGTAAAGAAAAAATTTCTGGTCGTGCATTTCTCAAATTGACCAAAGCAGAGTTTCAAAGTATAGGGTTCACATTGAGATCTTGTAGATTTTATCGAAGAGCTTACCGAACGAAAGATACGTAACTTCTCATCGTATAAAACCATTGAAGAGTTGAAGGACGTACTCCGCAAATATAGGGTTAACGGGGATGATATTACATGTATCAAACAATTCAATCCGGGTATGTGTCAATTTTATTTGGGCGAACCAAGTTCGCTGAAATTTCTTGGCAAATTGATCGAAGATTGTCTACATTTTTTCGAATTGCAGAGGGATATTTCAGGTGAAGAAGCATCCGGAAGAGTTAATTACGCTATAACAGGGATGGAGGATCTTTTGTGTATCACGGAGGGAAAACCACGAAACTTTAAGATCGGTTACCTTCAAAATATAAAACAACTAGAGAGTTCCTTCCACATGAACAAGAAGCAGCGAACTGCGGGCGAAGCATCTAAGGCCGAGGATTACGACTAATCTAGATGGGATTGTGTCGACTGGTATGAGAAAAATTTTCCATGTATCTTTAGATACTAGCTTCGCTATTATGGATCGGATTCATCGGGCAACTCTCGTCATGATTTTCGTTCTGTCTTTGCTAATTATCTGATTTATTTTTAGGTGCGGATTGGCATTTTGTCGTGTTCACTTCCGAAGGGATTTTTTGTACTAGTAATAGTGAAATCTTACGAAAAAAGCGCTCAAGGGAAATCAGGAAAGTCTGAGATATAAAACCGGTAATCAGTATAGTTATAGTCGTAAGGTTATTGAAAGATAGTGTGTTAGCGTGTGATGAACCTGAAAATAAGAAGCGACGCGTGCAAGAAAAATTACTAAGAAATAGTGGGTAGATAGCACCCGCTTCGCATGTATTTTTTATATTGTATCAATAAAGCAATCAGGTCTAAATGGTCTTTTTTACGATAATTAATTTTTGTATGATGATAATTTTTTGAATTCTCTTTTGAACTTATCTATATTTCATTTAAAAAATGACAAACACGCAGTCTAAAATTGGTTCTTTGAAAGAACTAAATTCAAAGCTCGCCGTCGAGATTACTAATCTGAGAAAGGAGAACGCCGAAGTTCCCGAACTTAGAAGAAATATGCTGAGATCGAGGCTGAAAATGTGAAGTTAAGAAAGGTCATAGAAGAGAGCATTGAGCTTAAAACCAGGTTCGAAGAGTTGGAGAGAAAAAATAAAACGGATACTGCCAAGCTCACTGCCGAGAATACTGAGCTTAAAGATAGAGTTACAAAATTGGAACCGAGGCAGACTCAGGTAATTACTAATGAACTGAGAGCATCTACAAAAGATATCCCGCAACTTATCAGTGAGGATGCTAGTTTACACTGTGCAATCGCATCTAAAGAAACGATCATTCCTTACCCCTCACTGAAATAAAACATAGCCGGACAAAATCTGAAGAATCGGAGATTCGATGCTCTGCATCACCCTCTACAACCTCTTTACTGGAAGATGATACATCTAAACAAATGCCAGAACACGCATCTGATATATCTGATATCACTTCAAATTCCGGCATATGTCAGAAGTCGAAGACCTGTAAATCATTGGAAGACAAGATGATGGATGAAATCTTGGATAAGGCACAAAAGAAAAGAATGAGTTGGCGATTAGATAAGGCAAAGAAAGCGTGAGGAGAAGTTTAAACGTGAATCAGTTATCCAGGATATCTCTTCTGACTTTCCAAACACTCCCTCTATCTCATCATCTCATACTCTAGCCACGAATTGACTGCCTCCGACAATTCAGAAACGATTCCAGAAGAGACAGAGTCTCGAGTTTCCAAAGTGTGTTTGATGAAGACGTTAATGATAATGAGGATAATGATGAGAATTTCTCTGACGATGGAGGCGATAATAGGGAAACTTCCGATAATAGTGACGATGATGAGGATTCCTTCAATAACAATGAAGGTGGAGGGTTCTGTGGATTTTCTGACGACGATGATGAAGGATTTATTATGATTTAAATACCGGTGAAACTTATACAAAATCGTAGAGTCGAAGACTCGATCCTTTGGATCATCGTTCAATCTGTGCATATTAACGATTTTCAGTGTATATTGGCTTGTGTTACCTAATTTATTTATATTAAATATTTTTTCCGATAATTACCTGCCAAGTGTCCTTGATAGCAGAGTTTTAGTTGCTATTTTCGATTACGCGGGGGTGTTCTCCATGAATTTTTTGTGCGTCACCCTTGCATCACTAATACAGCACCTTTGCAGGTGCAAATACAATTATTTTGAGTGGATTTATTTCTGGTATATCGGAAATTCAGAAATTGAAATTTAGAATTGCAGAAATTTAAAAGTCAAAAACAAAGTATCTTCAATTCTATATGCTATAATACTGTGCCGTAATGCTTTATGCCATAATAATATATGCCGTAATGCTACAGTATATGTTGCAATAATATACGCTACGCTATAATGCTACATGCTGTAACACTACATGTCATAATGCTATATGCCATAATGCTAATATATATGCCGTAATTCTGGGAATAATAATAATTTATAAAAATCCGAGTTTAAATTTAGTTTAAAAAAATAAAACAATAAAGTTAGTAATTAAAAAAGAAAATAAAGAAATAAATTCAATTAATAATAAAGAATATTCTAATTTTTCTAATAAAAACATAATTTTTTATATTCATTATTATTATTTATTTATTAATAAAAATTTTGCATTGAAATAATGTTTAGGCACGTGAATGACATTAATGTAAGGAGTTATCGTAATTCGGAAATCTCACTCGAAATAATTGTTTGAATATTAAATTATAGGAATGAGGATCAAGAGTAGGCTGTTACAAAATGAAAATTAGTTTGAAGATATTATTCCGCAGTATACATATAATTTTATTTTTATACAAATGATGAAGCGATTTTTTACGTAGCTATTTTTTTCGTATGATGTGGTGAATGTGGGATACAAAGTGAGCGTGCATGTTAATATTTCTCGATTAAGTTTCATTGCAACGAAATTATCGATTCAGAATTTGAAATGCGCAGTACCATTCTTTCGGTACCAATTATATAGTTCGTCATCATGTACTCAATGAATTTTATATAATAAATATGGGGGATCCCAACTTCATCGGGATAGCGTAAAAATTCTTTTTATTGTTAAACTAAGGAGGAGCCATTGATCAGATTATCGTAATGCGATCATATTAACGTAATCCCTCCCAAAAGCATATACCAAAATCGATCCTGCAAATTATATAAAATTGTGATGTCCATATTAGTGAATCCTTTTATCTGCCTTGTGCAAGCAAAACGAAAAAATCAAGCGAAATAATCAAGCTTACTATTATTTGCATCATCAATATTATCATTCCAACGAACAAGTATATTCCGAAAAGTGATAACAAGGTATGTTTATTTTATTGCTCGGCTAGCTTTTTGAAACATGTCACCACGCTGTTAATCGATTTCACACCTCTATAGATGTTCCAAACAAAACGCTTCATGTTATATGTCAGCATCTTGATCTTCGCCGAGAAAATCTCTGACTATTAGTGAAATTACTTACATGAATCTCAACATCACGCGTTTTAACAAAATTTGGCGCAGTGTATCTAATAAATTTACCGGAAATACTTCACGTGCCAAATCCTGTGCAGTATCGTACGTATTTTGATGAAAAAATTAAACAATAAATTTCTTGCATATGAGGCAGAATGGAATATTGTAAAAATTAATCGTAGCGGTAAGTGTGAATCGGTAATGTTCATTATTATTTATTTATTTTTTTACCTCAGTTGCTAATCTCCCGAATTTATGTTGTAGATTCGAAATTATTCAATCTCGGGAAAGTTCTTGATATTGAGAGTAATATAGGCGGAAAGTGAACGATTCATCTCGTAGTTATAGTGATAGAACAACTTAATGCTGGGACTCGCATTAAATGGCCTAGGATCCGCGTACTCCCTCGCTCTTTGATAGCATCATACATTTCGTTCGCTTCTATTATTATTTTTGCATTCACGTATAAACAAATTTCTTGATATATTTCTCTATACCAATTCAACAAAATGTGTTGGAAGTTAATATGATAACTGAATAAATGCTTCAATATAATCAAGTACGTAGGATATAAAAAAAAAACCCCCATCAAAACTGCCGGCTGTTGCCAGGCGCAGTAATAATGGTCACCTTTACAAGAAAGAACGGTCACCGGCTGTTGCCAGGCATGAACACGCTCTACTTGTACTTCTATCACAACTGCCGGCTGTTGCCAGAGCACAGCGTAATAGGGTTGGAGGTCGCTTCCATGGATCAACTACTGGCGCAGACCTCTACAAGAAAGAACGGTCACCGGCTGTTGCCAGGCATGAACACGCTCTACTTGTACTTCTATCACAACTGCCGGCTGTTGCCAGAGCACAGCGTAATAGGGTTGCAAAGGGAGGTCTCACCTTTACACTTCCATGGGTCAACTACCGGCTGTTGCCAGGCGTAGTAGTCATGGGTCGAAAAAACTAAAAATTGTAAGTCATCTAGTAAATAAGAAATCCGTTATTAAGTACGCCTATGCCCCAATTGGTCAATTATCACATGCACTAGGAGGGATCTACAGCCGTAAAAAAAAATTCCACGAGCGCGTCGCGCGTCGAACTCAAGTTTAAATAATAATCATTTTAGCCATTTACCGTTAATAATACGACCTGACTTTTTTAATAATGGACAAAGAACCACGTTTGAAGAGCTCAAAGTTTTTTTATTACAAATGTTCGGGAATTTTGGGCATACACAATTTCTTCATTGAGGAACCAGCGTCTAAATGGTGCCTGGAAGCATTCGTGAACAAGTTTATAGACGAGAAAGAGACGGAACTAAGTTTTGAACAAATCCAAGAGCTCTTTTTGTCTAACCTACAACAAATTATTAACCAGAAGAATGTCGATAGTCCTATTCGTGCATTCTGTGCAGATTATACTGAATGGATACAAGTAATTATCTAGTTCTCTTAATTGGTATTATTTCACTGTGATTCAAAAGCCAATCCTAATATCCATCAAAGTCGTGGAAGGGGCAAGCAGTTTCGAAGGCATGTAAGGAGTTTTATGAAGAATGGATAGATCTAGGAATATCTTTACGGCAAAAACGCAAACATAAGGAAATCGCCGAGGTATGCTTTATTTTATTATTATTTTTTTTTTTTTTGGAATGTGGTTCTCTCTTTTTTTTGAAAAGATTAGTCTATTTATATTGTTGATTAGGATTTCGTTTCTGAAAATGCGAAATATATAGCATTTCGAAATACCATTAGCCAAAGGCCCAAAAGAGCTCAAACGCCTTCACACCAGTCACGGGCTCAAACGCCTCCGCACCAGTCACGGGCTCAAACACCTCCACCTAAGTCGTCACGATCCCTGACACCAACAACACCGAATAAAAGGATGATAGAACACGAAAAAGTCAAACAGTGAGTTCAAGTTAAAATCATATTTGTTTCGACATTGTTAATGATTTCCTATCTTTAGGTACATTGAATCAATCCAGATCGTGTGCATGTTTGGCACAAATAAATCTAAATCGGAGGAACTAGTAGGAAAAGATTTGGCAAGCAAGATATCCTCATATCGAAAGCGGATACCTTCCACCTGGACAAATAGTTTAGAGAAATACTTGAAAAATGCGTTTAATGTGAGTCTATATTGTATTTCATTTTATTGTTCGGCAAATTGATATATAATATCTATCGATATAGAAAACGGGAAAAAAATTCAAATTGGCGATACAGGAGGAAATAATAGGAGAGGACGGAAACAAATTCAGATTATACTGCGAAAAGGTATTAATGGAATTGTAAGTATTTAGTTGTTAATGAGCATAAAAGAAAATCATACATAATGATTGATGATATTTTATATTCCTTAAAGTTATAATCTAGTCGATGTTTTCCCAACACTTTCGAGGAAGATCAAAGAAAGAAAGTTTACGATATACCATATTTCACCCTTGTTTAAGTTATATGAATCCACTTTTGGAACTTTAGAATTCGACTGGATAGAATCTCATGCGCAATCAGCAAAAATTATGAAGTCTTCGATTGATTCAGGAATATTATTAGTAGACGTTAATGGTATGCACTAAGATTAGTAGCTGTTATTGCTATTGTGATTAGCTACTGATTTAAACACTTATTCTCTTGGCACAATAGGAGTTCGGGTCAGAGATTACAAAGAAATTTTTCACATGGAGGTCTCAGGACCGCCAAGCAACCCAACAATTCGTCATACTACGGGTGACACAAAGAAGACATTACACACTGACATATTGAATTTGGTGGATGTTTTAAGAGATCATCTTGATCTTGATGTGAAGTTAGCAAAGGAAGTTAAAGTGTATAGTATGCAAGTCATTGGTAAGTTTTTCATTACATATTTTTGTATAATCAAATACTTATTACGGTATTATTCCTTTTTACTATTTATTCTTAGCATACCGGCTGACATTGTATGCCCTTAGTATGATGGAAGACGGTAGGTTCGTTGCGTATGAGTTGTCATCTGCGGAGTTGCCATTTGACTTTGATTCACGTTCAAAGTACATGGCAGTCCTGCGGATGATGGCTATTTTCCATGTAAGTGTGTAGTATAAATAATTATTTTCTTTAAAAAAAGTCAACCGAAATATTGCCCTAAATATTTAATACCTTTTTTGTAAATCTTAGGACGAAATAGTCCATCAGACAGTTATCATGAACGAAATAGATAGTATTCTCATTCCTTCCGAAGGCACATGTGTTCGAGATGTCTTGAAGATTCCGGAAAACTTGCGAAATTTATAATGTTTAGAAAATTTCTAGTGTAATTATTGCAGAATAGATATACAGTATTTTACTTGATACTATAGATTTGTTAGTATTGTAAATTTTGATGTATTTTCCGTATGATTATATTTTGTGCAAATAAATTCAGTAATCTTTAGGTCTATCATAATGATTTTTTACACACAAAAGTCTTCTCATGTGAAATCTACGATTAAGGGAACTATGAATCAAAAAAAAATCATTACGTCCTCTAAGCTGGTCAGAATGTAATGTATTCCCAGCATCACTGACCACCTGCCGATTATAATAGACGAACTTTTGAGAAATTTATGCTAGATATAAAAAGAAATATAGAGAGCGGGTTACTGCAAATAAAAGATTACGAGGCAAAATTGAGGATCTGAAGTTGCAGATGCGGTAGGCGGTAAAAGAGCTGGCATCTATGAAGTCCAATAACTTATTAGAACCCATTATGAATGGTTGTGTGTTTTCTAGCCAGTCCTTAGCTAGGTTTGCTTACTCATGAAGTGCAAATAGGTTTAGTTAGGTCAGTCGTGCTAGGTAATCCTTAATCTGTATATTCTGTATATTGTAATTTATAGTTTGTATAAAATAAATAATATACTGGCTTTAACAAACCTGTTAATAAACATCTCATATCAAATACTTAGCTATGGTTTAAAAAAATTATAATTTGATTTAAGAAAAATAATAAATTAAAAATTTTTATTAATTTTTTAATAACTTACAAAAAAGATATTTACAAGAAGTTTTAATATTTCTTTATTAATAAAGTCTTAATATTTTCTTAAAATAACTTAAAGAGTAACTTCATTAGTATATTTATTCTCATTTACTTATTTTATAATTTTTTTTATTCATTAATCTTTATATAAGCTAATTAATCAATACTAATATTATTCAATATATTCTGAAATTTGAACTAATATTATAATAATATAATCTGATCAAATAATATAGATTATATACTAGTTAGCTTTCAATAATAATAATTATTATTTTTTTTAAATCCTTTGTCAGGCTAGAAATGTGTGCTTCATTAAACATGTGTATACTTTACATTAGAAAATGTATCACTAACATCAGGAAATTTTTGAAAAATTCTTCAAAAAACTTTAAAAATTTTTGAAAATTTGTAAAACAAAAAAATTTTCATTAATTTTAATAATAAAAAACTTCAAAAATATTTAAAGTAATAATATATATATTAAAATAAAATTGACCAATAAAATACTGATTAATTTAGTCAATCAAAAATTTAATTTATATATTATCATAATTTTGTCAATATTATTTCATTTTTAAAGCTATGAAATAATTTTGAAAGGTGATAAAGAGTATTATGCTGTCATAATATGACATAACTTCTTAGGATTTTTGTTATATAAGGACTTTAAAGTTTTTTCTTTTTTATTAATATCAAATAAAAGAAAAGAAATGCATAACATGTTTCAACAAATGATTTTAGGTTCAAGCTCTAATAAAAAGGATACTTCGAAGTCCTCCAAAAAGCTCAAGAATACTCCCGGTACTCCAGGTTAAAGACCAATACCTCAAGTCAAAATGAAAACAGAGTCCCCCCGAAAATAATTAAAATCACTCAGTTATATTTTAAAATCTTTACCTACTAAAAGGTTATTCAAAAAATCTCTAGGTATATTAAAAAAATATAATTATTTAAATAAATATTAATTTATATATTTGGTTTCTAATATAGTAATTGATAGGCTTTTGAAGTTCTATGAAAATCTTTATAAAAAAATTGATTAATTATTAGAATATTAAAAAGTCATCAAGGATAAGGTTACCTGCCTAAAAAATAAAATTCACATGAGGCAACATTTAATTACCGAACAGAATTTTATCGAGATAAGGTTTAATTTTTTAATATTTGAAAAACTTTAATAACATTTTGAATTCTATAATAGCGTGTGATTAAAACTATCACAAAAGAAGTCTTTTTTAAAAAAATATATATAGATCCTGAAGATTTTTGTCAGCATATAGAGGAATATTTTCAGCGAGAACATTCAAAGTTCTTCAAAGGCCTTACAAGAAAATATTGGAAAACATATTATAAAAAGTATATTTATCAAGTGGTAATTATTGAGTTATTAATAATATAAATAAATTTATTAACAATATTATTTATTTAATAGCTTGTGAGACAACACAGATTGCTTTGA